CTCTGTCGTGAAAGCACATCCAGCAGAACGCAACCGTAGGATTATTGGCGTCTCAGTGTTAATCTAACCCAGAGACTCCAATATCCATTAATTACGGAATATGCCTTAAAATTATAATAGGATCCCTAATATGATTTAAGGTATATTCCTTAATCTAGGGATATTGGAAAGTAAGATTCGTCAACCCCCTGGACCCTACATCGGTGTCTCGCTGAGGTCGACACCCAGGCCAGGACCACTGGTGGGCGCCTCAAGGCATTGTGTAGAAGTCTGGATTTTAATATAGGGGCCTAAATTAAAATATACCAGTACTAGTTTGGGGGTTCTCTATTCTAACTATAGTATAATGGGTCCCAAACCCCTATTCTTACTGTTGAGGCACCTAAAACAGGCAAAACTTGGAGCTCAGGTGACGAAGCTTTGGACACGTGTGGGGAGAGTGCGGAGGCAATCGCCGGAATTCTGGCCGTTGCTTGGCTCAAGACGCGAGTTTTGGGACGGTTCAGAATTTAAGGGTGCAGTGGTTTAGGGTATAGGGTTGCGGGTTTAAGGGGTTTTGGGGTTCGTGTTACGGGTTCGCAAGATGGCTTTGCGGGGATGGTTATCGGTGTTGGAGGATGCTGAGGAGAAGTCCTCCGTCAAAAGAGCCGCCAAGTAGGGTTTAGGGTTTAGGGTGCAGATCTTGCGTCGCGCTGAACGGTGGCCCAGTGTTTCTGTGGGCAGCGGCTACGTGATGAGCAGTAGTACCGGCAGCCGCAGCACTGCAGAAGCAGCGCTGGCAATGGCAATGCGCATCGAGGCTTATTAGTCGTCACGACAGTAGCAGTAGCAATCGAAGCATGTGGAAGAATTGCCGCCCTAAGTGTTGCGCAGTACAGCAATACAAGTGCCAAGCGTTCATTCTCACCATCATCCTCATCAGCATCAGCATCGCCATCGTTATCATCATAAGCTTCATAAGCATCACTGTGGCTTGCATACACCATCACGAATACTCCTACCGAGTACCAGAACTACGACGGTCACTGCTGCTGCCGTGGCATACTTTCGTTCGGACCGGAGCTCGAAATAGGGTTTAGGCTTGCATTGCGGGGCGGCTTAAGACCCCTAAACTATACAGCCTTTTTAGAGGAACCCCCTGAAAGGAGACCCCTAATTTCGGAAACCCTAAACCCTAAACCCTAAACCGGTTTAGGGTTTAGGGTTTAGGGTTTAGGGTTCCCATATGTCATCTTGTGATCAAGTCTGAGGAAGACTTCGCCTCGCCTTTGATGACGCACAGCTGCACTTTTTGGGGCCATGGGGGCTGGGATGCTTTGGGTTGGGGGTCTAGGGTTTAGGGTTTAGGGTTTAGGGCGGCTTGCGGGAAAACGGCACGTCACGGACAGGGCTAGTAAGTATGGTGATGCATCGTCCAGGCACGGGAGTAAATAAACGTTTACAGTGCCCGGTTTTGGAAATCCTGAGCTTGCCATGATGCTGTAAAACACTCCGGGAGGTCTATAACTGAATCCACATGTTAGTCTTCGAGCCGTGATGCAATTCTGCGAAATCATGGCTCCAGCCAACCCTGTGCGAAGTTCCCTTAATTCGAAACCGTAAACCCGTCAAGCCCTAATTGTACAGGCTCTGAAACTTCCTAGACACCAGCTGCGAGACCCTGAACCCCAAACCCTCAACCCTACTTGGCGGGGCAAGGGACTTAGTAAGCAGGTTCTAAGTAGGGTTATAACTGGGGTAACTGCATTTAGGGTACTTATAACCCTGCTCATAACCTACTTACTAAGTGCCCTGCCCGTCCAAGTAAACCCCCAAAGAACCCTAAACCTTAAACCCTAACCCTCAGCCCTAAAACCCTAAACCTGTTAAAGGCTTTGCAAGCCCGGGCCCACAAAGCTGAAAACCCCCAACCCCAACTAAACCCCGAACCTGAAATGCGAAACCTAAACTAGGGTTTAGGGATAAGGGTTTGGGGGTTAAGGCTTAGGGGTCAGGGTTTAGGTTTCCTATAAGATGTACCTTCTGGTTTCCTCATGTATGTCCTTGGAAGAAGGTAGGTTCAACCCCCGAAATCCTCACCCCGACCTCTCCTCAGGTAGCACAAGACCGCTGAATTGAGGAAGATACCCTACACTACTTGGAGGGGCAGGGGACTTAGTAAGTAGGTTCTAAGTAGAGTTATAAGTAGCCTAAAGGGAGTTACCCCATAATTATAACCCTACTCATAACCTACTTGCTAAATCCCCTGCCCCTCCACCCCTCCACGTAAGGGTCCGTGTACCCAAACAGTATGTACTTTGATCCCAAATGCCTATATGGGGACGACTTGAAGGCCAAAGTCTATTATGCTGCTTGGGTACATGAACCCTTAATGTTTAAAAAAGACAGTGTCAAGCCCAATATGGTCTCAGGTGCATTCCTCACTTCATTCCGTATGGTTGATTTTTGGACGGTTGAAGGTGCATTCGCCAATTCAGGGGTCTCTCTTAGCCCCCCTCGTACCCTAAGCCCAGAACTCTCGACCCCAAAACCCCCACCCCTCCGCCCTAGACCTTGACCCCTACTCCCCTAGACTCTAAACCCTTACGGATCCCGTTAAAGGAGCCCGTGCAGATCCCTTTAAAGGAACCCCTACAGACCCCGTTAAAGGAACTCTCACAGATCTCTTTAAAGGAACTCTCACAGATCCCTTTAAAGGAACCCTTACAGATCCCTTCAAAGGAAACCTTACAGGTTCTTTCAAAGGAACCCCTACACCCTACCGGACTTGCGTAGTAGGTAAGGTTGTAAGTAGGTTATTAGGATAACCCCACTTAGGGGAAGTATAACCCCAATTATAACCTACTTACTAAGTCCCATAGTCCTCTAAATAGACCCTAAACCCTAAACCCCATAGATCCCTTTAAGGAACCCCATAGATCCCGTTAAGGAGCCCTTTAAGAACCCCTTTACCCTGCCGGACTTGAGCCCAGGGCGGAGGTCAACGAGGTCTTCCTGTACCACGGAACGAGTGCGTCGGCCGCAGAGGCGATCAAGACGCACGACTTCAGGACGAAGATTTAGGGTTTGGGGTTTAGGGGTCGCATGAATATAACATGTACTAGACTATATGTAGTGCAGGGCGTTTCGAAAGATCTTGCTAAGTAGTTGAGAGGCCAAGTTGTTGGGTCTTCGTCTGCCTTGTCGCAACAGAAACAAGGCTTCTGTCTGAGTGAATGCCAAGTCAGTTAGAACTGAGTATGGCATGTGGCTTCGTTGCACATCCTTGCAGATCAACTAGCTTGGGAAAGTTCCAAAGTTGATAGTTTTGCTATTATTGCTGTTATTATTTTAATATTATCATTGTAACTACTATTATGGTTGCCACTAATAATACCTTGGGAAAACACCCCTAAACCAGAAACCTTCAACCGGACGAGTTTAGTCGAAAGTTGTTCTTGGAGCCGCAAGACCGAGATCAAGAACTCTTTGATTGTTCTCGGGTTTAGGTTTTAGGGTACTCCACCACATGGAGAAGCGTTTGTTTGCGTAAGTCTCTGTTTTTACCAGCGAAACCAGTGTCCTGACAAGATTGCAGGTCAGGGTACCCCTGTGCTTGGACTTGTGGTCAGTGGAAGTGTCTCCGAAGTTGGGTTGTAAATTGGAGGAGCCAAGTTAGGATATATCCGCAAGATGGGCTATAGGCTATGTATATGTGGACTGCGTTTGGGGGTGGTAATAGTTTGACCTCTAATGCCTTGTACCATCTAATTCTGACAAGCACTTTCTGCTGCAGGATCAATTTGGCCGGGACAAATGCAGGAACTCTCTACGGTCGAGGCACCCTCATATCAGCTCTTTGATCATGGATGAAGGGCTTTCGGCGTACAATTATGTTTAGAGCTCAAACCCCAACTCCCTAAAAGCCTCAAACTTGCCTATCGCCAGGGCTTTGCCAGGGTTCTACTAGCGATTCCCGGGCTAAGGTGTGCTAAAGTCACCCCTAAGCCCTGAACCCTAAAGCTGCAAAAAGAGAAAGGCGTGTAAACCGAAGGAGCGCGTGCCTGGTGGGACAAGATCCCCAGACACTATGAGACATGTAATGATCCTTAGGGCTCCATGCAGTTACCCAAATGGTGAGTAGATTGCTATAGCCACAGATTATGTTACCCGTTTATTCAGGTAACTGAAGCTCTAGGGGAGGGTTCCTGAACTACACCATATTGCAGTTGTCTTTGTTCTGCAAAGAACCTTGCATAGTTTTTGAGTTTAGGTGCTTCTGGTCCACTGCTTGGCGCGATGCAAGTAGGGCACCGAGCTGATGCCATTTTGATCAATGCATTCCGAATCCCGGGTGTTACAAGGTTCCCAAATCCGGTTTCCAGACATGCGATATCGCGTTGCATTCTGTGCACATCCTAAAGGCTTTGCATTTCCGATGCGATGCCTTATTATCCGTTGTGAGTGCAGGCATCTACCTTGCTGAGAACGGAACCAAAAGCGCGGCGCCCAGTCGTCCTAAAGGACACGTCTCGGACGGCCTGATGGCGTGAGAATTTTTATCATTGTCATGACTAGTACAATGTGGCTGGTTATGAACACTCGGCATAGCTTTTCTTTTTGTCAGGTGCACAAGACCAGCACTGCCACCACTGCCACGGCTACGATCGTTTAGCAACCCTTATGCTTCGCTCGAAAATAGACGGAGTCGCAGCAGTCGCCACAGCAGCAGCATCATCAGAATCAGCAGCAGCGAACGGTTTCGTTTTCGCTGTTGTTGTGGAGCAGCTACACACCTGCTGGATACAACCAAGTTCACCGAGCTCAAAATCAAAAGCATCGCAAACTTCAGCATTCCTGCCCTGCATTGGGCATGGGGTCTTTGGGTTCAGGGTTTGGGGTGTAGGGTTGTGTATTGGAGTTCGGGGTTTATACAGGTTTATTTGTCACTGTCGCAACTATCACGCGCTTGTCATCATGATTGATCCTCCCTGCGACGAGGTGACGAGTATACCACGCCCATGTCTGACGGTGTGCGCCACCTGCTCGTATGCCGTGTGGTCCTTGGCAGAGTCTACTACACAGACACCAAGGACGCGGTTGAGTTCTTGAGCTAAAATTCGGGCGAACCCGGAGATACCTGAACTTGACCTTAGGTTGGTAAGGGTTTAGGGATTCGGGTTTAGGGTTTGTTGGTTGGAAGTCACCTGACGTAAGCTTTTTAGGTCTTTGTTTACATTCTACCTCCCGTTTAGTAATATAGGGTTTAGGGATTTATCGACTGGAGCCCCTCAGCCCTATACAGGAAACTCTAAACGCTCAAACCTAAACCACAAAGCCTTCCCAATGCTGAGTTGCTAAACCCCAAAGCCTCAACCCTAAATGTAACCCTGGGCCCTAAACCCTCAACTCTACAAAGACAACCCTGTTCCCCCGCAGGACACGGATCCCCGAGCTTGTGAGGATGCCTGCCTCAAGGGCCCTGGCGCTCAGAAGATTAGGGGGGATGCGATGAAGGGGGGAGGGGTGGGAGTTTGGGATTGCTTGCCGAAACAAATGGTTCAGGGTCTAGGCATAGAAGGTTTGAGGGTTTTGAGTTAGAGGATTTCTGTTTCTTGGTTTTAAGGTTTTGGGGTTTAGGGTCCGAAGGCTGGCGATTCGGGCTTGAGGGCCTCATTCCGAGATTGCTGTCAGTTCTAAACCTCTGTCTATCCCAAACTTGACCCTGATCACCCGGATGCTCGCTGCGCTCTCAACAAGTTCGGATTCGGGGGTGGAGTTATTTTTTTGCGAGTTTGTTAGAGTCAACAGTGAACCCGACGCTCCAATCAACAAGCAAGCCAACATTGCCCAAAGTTAGCAGAATCCCGTCCCACTCCTCTTCCTGCTCTTGCTTCGGAGCCCCCCCCCCTGAACGCAAATTACGGTTGAAAGTGCAGGGATGATTTCGGTAGGATCGACCCGAAGTGCGTTTCATTGTCAGGGAGGTGTGAATAAATGGGAGAAGTTGGGTACGGCCCCCACTCAATAATAGTTGAATACTATTCTTAATATAGATATTAGATATCGTAGGGCCTTAATAGGAGCCCTATTATAGACTCTTACTGTATGGGGGCCGTACCTAAGGGGAAAGCGATCAGAGCAACCTAGAACCTCATTCACGGGGCCTGACTCTTAACCTCCATCCTGAACTGCCAATTCCTACTTTTTGTAGGGTCCCTGTAATACATGTGGGTGGTTGTCAAAATTATGGTTCCCGTTTGGGTCCCTGTTCTAATACGGCACCTATTATTTAGGTTACCCAAAAAGGGACCGTAATTTTGACAACTACCCATGTAAGTACAATATTCGGGTTTACAGTGGGCACCTACAACGATGGCTTAAGGTAGACCTTTAGGCCCAAACCCTAAACCCCTCAACCCTAAACACCCGATCTCCCTCTTGGCGCTGCAGAGGCAAGTTTAATTCTGTCCTCGGTGATCGGAAGAAGTGCAGAGGTGGGATTCTCATGGGCACTCGGTTGATGGTACAAATCCTGCACTACCCACAATAAGGAATATACCATAATTCCCATATACTCCCGATTATGGGTAATGCAGGATTTATATCATCAACCGTTCTGGGCTCTTGTTAACGAGTTTAAGGTCTCCTTTAAGGGATCTATAAGGGTTCCTTTAAGGGATCCAAACGGGCTCCTTTAAGGGACTTATAAGGGTTCCTTTATGGGTATAGGCCTTTAAGTTGCCATACTAGGGAGTGTAAATAATCTGGTTTCCGTATTTTGGCAACTTGAATGAAAGCCCTTCACAAGCACCCAGACTTGGATGATCATGCTTTCCCGTAGACTCCATTGTTGTTCCTTTTTGGGATTACCTTATGGGAGCCGAAATGAAAACAACAAAAAGGAACTACAACGGAGCCTAAAGGTAGGGTGGCTACATCTATACTTGAAGTCGCCTGTGCCCAGAATGTTCGGGCCCTGCTTTCTATGCTTTCCAGATACTGACTGCATGATGCCACCAGGCACCTTCCGTGAGTTCATCGTCTTTGACGAGGAGCAAGTCTACACGAACTACATCCTGTGCCTCGGCAGCAACTCGGGTTTCGATTTTGAGTTTCGACTTTGGTGTTGTGAAACCTTAGGCTGTAGGGGTCGTACGGATTCAGATATCAGAGCCCCTAAACCCTAAACTCTAAGCCGTTTATTTGGGCTCACGACGATCCGTACAGGCAGGTCTTAGCAAGAATCAAAAGGCTGGCCCTGGCCCTAGGCCCCGCGGACCACGATTTAGGGTTCAGGGCCGCCAGCCTTGATAGGCTCAAATATGCAGCTGACACCCGCTCGCCTAGGGCTAAAGTCCTACATAGGCCGGACTGCTGTTGTTGTTGCTGTTGATGCTGCTGCTGTTGGTGGTGGTGGTGGTGGTGGTTGGTGGTGGCTGCTGTCGTTGGGGCTATGGTCGTCGTGGTCGTCGTGATGGCCGTCTTCTTGGTTGTGGTCGTCGTCATCGTCGTCGTTGTTGCTGGTTGCTAATTCTGTTGCTGTCGCTGCTCTGAAGGACGATGTCTTTCAATGCTTGTCTCTCACTGTCTTTCTTGTCCCTGAGTCCGAGCTCTGAGTCTATAAGTTCTAAACTCTTAAGGTCTCTTAACCAGCTTCCTACATTACGAAGTAGGGTGGCGGGGCCTCCAAGTTCCAACTCCGCCTGGAAGCCTTAAAAAACACTTAGAGGTGTTTGGGCTCAGCCTCCGGCTGATGTGCCATACGGTTGATGATATAAATCCTGCATTGCCTAGTTTAGGGTCCTTAAGGTAATGCAGGATTTTTACCATCAGCAGTAGCAGTCTCTGGGGTGTCTCGTGAGCTGCGTGGGCCCGGGTTTAGATGGCCTATAGACGGTTTAAGAGCAAATTTTAAAGCGTCAATGTCCCTTGGTTGGGGGCTCACATCAAGAACCCCGAGTGTCATTGATTAGGGCTTGCGGTTAACATACGTGCGATTTAGACGGTTCAGGTTCAGAGCTCTCACGCCACTACGGTTTGGGGCTCACAAGCATCAACCCCTGATTCGTCTGGGTTGTGCGAGGACCTACAAGCGCGTTGCCACGAAGTCGGCGTTCTGCACCTGGGCCTCTTATATAGTATATAGCCTGAATGTAGCGCTACTTGTTAGTGACGTTTCCCAGATTCAGGCTTTCAGTTTCAGGGGTTGGGTGCTGTGCTTACTCGTTGTGATAGTGTTGCGAACCCACGTCCCAAAACTTGAATCTAAGAAACTGGTGGCTGCCGTCGTTCAGCTTACGATGCAGAGCATGCGGTTCTACCCGCAACACCACTTGTGCTCGTTGACATTGAGGTAGGGATTCTCCCTGCACAGGGTTTGAAGGTGTTTCGGGCTCAACAGAACAGCGGGTTAGGTTGACATCCACCGCGGAGACTCCAGAGGCTGTAGAGAATCTGAAAGTCCGACTCCCAAGTCTGGAAGGTCCATGCCCTAAACCCTAATCCCCTTAGGGTATAGGGTTTAGGGTTTTGGGGGTTTAGGGTTTTGGGGGTTTAGGGCTTAAGGTTTAAAGTTTAGGGTAAAGCATAAACCCTAAACTTTCTGAACTCTAAACCCCCATGCACCAAACCCTAAGCCCTCAAAGCCTTGCATTGGGCAGAGGCGATGTCACCTGCCCGGAAACTGCGCTGCCTGGGACGGCTGGATCCTCAGTCCCAAGAGCAAGCTGCGAACACTCACAAGGCTTTAGGTGCTTGGGTCTAAGGTCCCGGAACCCGTATATAAACCTTTTACACTGGAACCCTTAATGCTGAAACTTAAACCCTAAACCCGTACATAAACCCTGGAGCCCCAACTGAAGCCTGGAACCCTAAACCCCTAAACCCTACCGGCCCAAAATGTTTAAAATTCCTTCAATCCCGAGCCTTCGATCCCCGAACACCTCAAAAAACTTACCCCACTCTATGCGTCAATGCTGCTGCAGCCCCGGCACACCCGCCCGGCAGTCGAAACCCTGAATCCCTAAGCCTTCTGTACGCCCTACGCCCAAAACCCGAAGAGCCCTAAACTCTGAACCCTGTACCCGCATACGGTACCCCAGACCCTCATGCCGCAAGATCGAGCCCTCAATCCACAGGCTCGTGCCCGGTACCGTCAGCCCAGGGTTTACAGCTTGGGGTCGAGGGAACCCGAAACATTAATTGTGAAGCTCCCTAGGACCCGAGGCTCCAACTTGAATGATGTTTTGGGGTACATTCTAGTACAGCCATTCGAAGGAACCTGAAGGAATACTGTTGGTAGATGTTCAGGCCTTTCTAGTGGATCACAAAAGATTAAAAACTCCAACACTCACCCGTCCAAGCTCCTCTAAGCCTCGAACCAAAAAGACTACACCCTAAACCCCACGCCCCAAGCCGTAAGCCAATAGTCTCAGGTCATTCACGTCCAAACTCCGGATGGACTGACCATCCAAGCTCAGGCCTGGACACGGTGGGATGTAATGTAAGGGAAGGGTGCCGTTGGGTTAACTAGAGTCTCCTTATAGAATTATTTCTTCTTTGTTTATATAAAATCCAAGAGAATATTTACAATAGTATTTTTTATTATGGTTGAAAGGCTGGTATGGTAATGTAAAGGAAGGGTGCTGTTGGTTTAAGGGTTTAGGACTTAGGGTTTACGGCTTTAGAGTTTAGGGTTAAGGATTTGGGGTTTAGGGTATATAGAAGCGCATACCAATAAGGTTACGCAAAGCTCAATACAAGGGGTTCGATCATAAGCCATCAGGGTATTGTAGGAGCATTATGAAGGGTTCTATGTGTTCTGGAGGGATACTACAAACGCATCATGGCGGGTTCAAGAAGGGGTTGTATAAGGGACTCAGCGTTTGTTCGGGTTGGGTCTTGGGAGCCGGGTTTGAGGAAGCCTTTTCCCTACGACTAAAGCCAAGTAGAACCCTTGCAGAGCCCGGTGGCCGATGAGAGTCGGCTATAGAACCCCTTAGAAATCTCATGGAACCCCCAAAAAAGATTCATAAAACCATTCCACAAAACCCCTGCTAAAAACACACGCACACACAGAACCCCAACAACAACAGAAGCCGTTGTCAGTTCACAGTTCTATTTGCCCTAAGCCCTAAACCCTAAACTGAAGCCTTAAACCCAAAACCCCTAAAGCCCTAAACGCCCAAACCCAAACCCTAAACCTTGAGGTTCCCGCCGGTGTCCAGCCAGGGGATACCTTCAGCGTGCAGCAAGCTTCCCAGCCCTCGGAGTTCTCGGTTTAGGGGTTTTAGGTGTTGAGGGTGTTTAAGGATTTACAGGGGTTTAGGTGTTCAGGGTTTAGGGTGTAGGGATTTGGGGGTTTCGGGTTCAGGGTTTAGGGTTTAGTGGTTTTAGGGTTTGGGTTTAGGTGTTTGGGGTTTTATGGCTCTCTGTTGTTCTGAAGGTTTTACATGGGTGTTTGAGATGGCTTCATACGGTTTTTGTTGGGGTAGGGTATGGCGTAAGGGTTTCCAAGGAGTTCCACAAACATCCTACAAGGAGGGGTCTGGGTTTTGGTGGAAGGGTTTAGGGTTTAGGGTTCATGTTTTCGGTCTTCG